TTTATTGCTCAAAGAAAAACGGAATAACGCTACGACCTCCTAGATCATTCAATTGGTCTTTTGAAAGACAGCAAACAATTTCCAGAAGTTGCCTGTTAGTTAAAATTTGGCACAAACGTTGCTCTATTCAAATAACTATCTGAGTAAGAGCATAATTCTATAGCATTCAGTATAATTAATTGAGATGCAGCCAAAACGTTTGATGGCAAAACGTTAAACTGTGTATCATACGGGCGGGACCCGAGACAAGAGACTAGCTCTTTTATACACACATAAGTGAAACTAGATAATTAGTCAATCGTCAATAGAACACGAATGTGCACCAACAAATGCATATCTATTTCGTAAGCAATGTTAGTGTATACGTATTCCTATGCACTTACATATGTATGTATGTTTAATACTGGAGTCATTCATAAAATGCCAAACTATCGTAACACGTCTGGCTTGCCTACTATGCCGTGGGAATTCGCTGTAAATTCATATGCTTTTAGGAGCAAATCGCATATGAGTGAGTGGGTGTGAGTGGATTAGAGTGCCGAGATGTACACACATACATATGTATGTATATGTGAAAGTGCTGGCAAAACAAGCCCACACACTACAAAACACGATTATGCACATACCTATGAATACTCATGAATAAACCGTTCATTGGAAAGCATGACGCGTATTTCTTTTCTTTTTTCTTTCTTCATCACTAAATATCAATGGATGTAAGTGGCAGGACCGAGTTGGTGAGGGCAAGCAAATATGTGCTGAATCTGTTAGTTTCGTTGGTTACTTATTTGATTGCCATAGCTGTGTTGACTGTTTCTGGGCGAAAGTGATGAAATTCAAATGAATTGCGACAAGCAAAGCTGTAAAAGCGACCACACTGGCAAACAACAGACGGCGAGGATGATGACAAGGAGGAGCTGCTCCTTCACAGCTGCCCAGGCAAGTTGAGGCTGTTGCTGTTGCTGTTGCTGAGGCTGAGTTAGTGACGCTGAACGAACGAGCAAACGAGTGAATGAATGAATGAATGTCAAGTGTGGTGATATATGCAACATAACAACAGAACAATACAACAAGCAGCAACAACAAGAGATCAACATGGCGCAATAAAACTGACTATGGCAGTTTTGGTGTTTTGGCAGAATTGCGCCAAGCCAAACTGATGAAGTTGATGCTGTCACATATGACACAAACAAACACAGCCACTTTCATGACGGCAACACGCACATATATGTGCACATATGTATTTACCTAGGAATGTGTGTATGTATGTACGTTCAATGTTTAGTGTTTAGATGGATGGATGCGGGTAACAACATGTTGACAGTCGAAAGCGACAATGCGTTTAGAACGAGCAGATGTACAATTCGGAATTGTGGCACCAGCAACATTTCAACATAGTAGCAGCAGCATTTAGTGCTTCCTACAATGGGTTGGAAGTGGCAAAAAAACGAGTGAAAAATGTGTTATAAAATGTTGCTGCGAGCAAGGAATAAAGCATGAAAAAATTAGAAATTTTTTAGAAACTCTTTGCCCTTAACTATGTACATAGAGAGAAGTTACACAAAACATTTTGCGGTTTTATTTATTTTTCTACTTTTTTATTTATTTTTTTTCGGCGTAATTTTGCAGAACTTTCTTTTTCCTTCTTGGGAACTCTAGAACTATCGAAAAGCTACTCAGAATAGTTTTAGCTTTTATTTTTTCAAAAATTCTGCTTTTTCGAATTTTTTGAAAACAAATTTTTGTGCGTAATTTTGCAGAATTTTCTTTCCCTTCTCAGGAAGTCTAGAACTATTGAATACCTACTCAGAACAGTTTTAGTTTTTATATTTTTTTAAAAATTTGACTTTTTCGCCTATTTTAAAAAAAGCATATTTTTTTTTGCGTAATTTTTCATTAAGTTCTTTTTCCTTTTGACGAACTCTAGATCTTTTGAAATGCTACTCAGAACAGTTTTTTTTTTTTAATTTTACTTTTTCGAGTTTTTCAAAAAAAAAAGTTTTTTTTTTCGGCGTAATTTTGCAGAGCTTTCATTTTCCTTCTCAGGAACTCTAGAACTATTAAAAAGCTACTCGACATAGTTTTAATTTTTACTTTTTTCAAACATTAAATGTTTTCTACTTTTTTGAAAAAATGTTTCTTTCGGCGCAATTTTGCGGAACTTTATTTCCTTTTCTAGAACTATTGAAAAGCTACGTAGAACAATTGTTTGCTTTATTAAAAATAACAAAATTAGTATTTTGAGCAACAAATACAACACGTTCAAGTACAAATTTTATACAATTTACGAAAACGAGGAAAATTCGAGTCTGGCAGCTCGATCCTGAGCCTTGGCGGGCAAATTTTTTCACAGCAATATTTACAATATAATTACAATACCGATGCATATTTCAAATATAAGCCAAATCGGATCACAAATACAATTTTTAGTAATAACATGACTCCAGCTCCACATGGCGGGTCAAAATGTGAGATAAAAGTATCCAGAGATCCCTCAAGCACACACCACGCTCCCCTTTCAAATAGTCCCACTTTTCTCCATGAGTATGCGATTGCCTTCATATAGCCCCATACTATGTTCGTATACTCTACGACGAACATTTCCAGAGATATACAGTATGACAATTTCGGTTTGTATGGAAGGTGCCACACCCCCTTCTCCAATAGCCCGCTTTTTCTTCCCTGGGTATTGAATTGACTTTATATTTACCCATACTAAGTTCCAGTATTGTACCATGCAAATATGCAGTATATAAGAGAATATTCACAGTTCAAAAATGTTGACTTTATTGTGTGTATTCGTCAGAACATCTATATGGATTGAAAAAGTTGTGGAACAAATATCGTTAAAGAAGCGATATTCTGCTGAAATCCGCAATAAAATCTGCGTCTTGCTAACTTTAGTCCTGCACATTTCTTGGGGGTTGCCGCCTCAAAGAAAAATCTTGCCGCACAAATATTATATCTGGATAGGTGTTCCATCGGAATCCGCAATAAAATTTTACTTTTTGAAAAACCCCGATGTTAAACACCTTATTACTAAATATATCTTAACATAAGTTCTCGAAAACAAGTTCCAAAAAATTGTTGACTCTCACCAAGTAAAGCATCTCCTCATAAAGAAAAATATTTTAAAAATAGCTCCTGAAAAACGCCAATTTTTTTCAACCACGATCTGTATAGAAAATTAAACAAGTATTACGATGGTGTAATTTTAAATCACTAATTTACAGGTCTTCAATATGCAAATCAACTTCAAAAAGTTCCACTGGTAATAGCTAAGTTAGCTGTAGGATGATCTTGACCATCTTATAAACGATGAAGTCTCTACGATGAACAGAACCCGAGATGCAACGTGTGATTAGTCAGAATCACGAAAAAATTCAAACTTTGACAGATCTTATCTCCGAAGAAAAAAAATATAAAAAAATTTTTCGAACACGTATTAGCTTATTTCACGTATAGAATCCATAAAAAAATTTGAAGCTATTTAGATGGAGATTTAGGAAAATTCAAAAAATTTTCATCAAAATTTCAGATTATTTAAAAATATTTTTAGGTACGCAGTTCAATAGCCCAAACCATTTTAAACTAATGAGTCCGCCATTTAAAATTTTTCTAACCTGACCTCAGATTCGTATTAAGCGCCCCCAGGAATCCCAGAGGAAAACATTTCTAGCGGACCGAATCGATTTTAATTTTTTGGCCGCCATATTGGATTCGCCATTATGAATTTTTAAATGATCATGATCGTAACAGTAAGAATCTGCTGTTACTTTTCCTTTCTTAGTGTTGGATACTACGATGTCAAAAAAGTTATAAAGCAAAATCTAATTTACGGTTAGTTTAGACGCCATATTTTTGAAACGTTTTCAATGGGGGGGGCGCCTATGTGATCATTTTAAGAGCTTATTATTTTTAATCCGCCCTGTAGAATTTGGCCATCGTACTGTACCGGTTGACGTGATGTGGAATTGAATTTTACGCCCCTTCTCTTACATCGCTACTTTCGGCACATTCCCGGTCGTGATCTAAGCGTCATAATAAACAAAAAAAAAAAAAAATTATGTTCGTACAGAAGTTGTGGAGAATGAAATTCTCTATAACTTTGGCATTTGAATATGCTACGTCTTTTCAAAAGAGATGGTTGAAAACAGGCGAAAACCGTGATAATGTAAAATTTTTTCGCAGTTTTTGCTAATTATTTACAATTAAAAAATGCGGGAAATTAAATTCTCTATAAATTTGTATTCAGCACTTTTTACGAATAATGCATAATAAGCTTTGCAAATTGCAAAAAACCCCAAAAAACATAAAAGCCAAAATGGCGGAATGTTCTCATATTTATGAAATTTAGGCGCAAAGCTGTTGAGCCATGATCTTTGTGTCAAATAGAAGTAAACTGCATCAAAAGTTCGCTACTAGAATTTTTCTTTTTAGCAAAAGTCTAATTTTACTGGGCTACTAGCAACTAAACACTGTGCAGCAGCATGTTATGGCCAAAAATACCAGCAACAAATAAGCATGATTGCCCAAGTGAAGTACTACACCAAAAACAAAACAAAACAAAACAAAACAACGAGAACTAAAATTCAATGGCAAAAACAATGCAATTAATTTCACTTACAACAGCTCACCGACAGGATGAGCAGCAGCAGTGCAGGTCGCAGTAGATGGCTCCTCAACAAGAGGAACAGTATGGCCCATAAAGACTGCAGCTGTAGGACTAGAATTTGTGATGCTGCTGGCCACCAAAGTGGTGGCGCTGAAGCTGCTAGTGTTGGTAGTAGTGGTGATGGTGTTGTTGGCACACATATCTGCGGCTATGACTGTGGCTATGACTGTTCATGCACAGCGCTTCGCTGCTGTAGGTGTTTGCTGGTGGAGTTGGAGTTGGAGTTGGAGTTAGAGCCGCCTCTTGATGGACTAGTTGCTCTTGCCCGCCACTAATGCTTGTGATGATGATGTTGACAAGAAGCGCAATGCGTTTGTTGCTATTGCTATTGCTGTTGGCGTTGTGCTGTTAGTGTTGTTGTTGTTGCAGCTTGATTTGTGCTTTCCCACACAAAACAGCCGAGGTGGCCAACTGTGGTACTGGCCGTGTACGGTTTCTGTCGCCGCTTCCTGACAGTTTGCTGCTGATGAATTTCATAGTTGTTGATTTTATGATTGCCATTTCCATTTGTTGATGTCGCAGTTGATTTTGCTGTGCCGTTGACGTTTGTGCTTGTTGAACTGTATGTAGTTACCGTTGAAGTTATGACGATAGTTGACGTTGTCATTCGTTGTGTTACGGTTGTTGGCCGTGCGGTTGTTGTCGGTGGTGGCGTTGGCAGCGATGGTGCTAGTGTTGTTATTGTTTTTGCCATACTTATTGCTGTCGTCATACTCGTTTTCGTAATTGTCAACGCTTTAGACGTCGTTAAAGTTGCCTCCGTTGCTGTCCAACAACAAGCTGCTCTAAATATCAGGCATATCAAGGACTCTTGTTGATGGCAGCAGCGTTGTTGTTCCTGTTGTGCCAGCTACTGTCTCTAATGCTTGCCAACTGCTTGATGTATTGTGGATCTTTGGAGCTTTTATTAGTGTTGGTATTGCTGTTGCCAACATAGTTTTGCTGGCCTCTGCTTGATTGCCATTACTATTTACGTTTAACAACCTTTTACCATTGTCAACTACATACAAATTTATTGTTGTGCAGATTTTTTGTTGTCTCTGTTGCTATTGTATTGTATTTTATATGTATTATTGCTGCTGACAGGTGAAACGACATCATTCTTCGCACATATTGTTACCGCAATGGCACTACAAGTCCCACCGACCGCCACAATGGCTCTCCTCGGCATAGCTGCGATTGTTATCAGTGTTGTTGTTGTTGTTGTTGCCGCCACTGCTGTTGTTTTCCGCATCATCATCAGCAGCAGCAGCACCATCATTGTACATGTCAACATCAACAATATAGGCGTCGTTGACATCTTGAGAATCCATCAACGAGGTCGCAACTCTACTGTAACGAATGTCAGCAACAGCAGCAATTGCGGTTGCTGCCACAATTCGTCTCGCTGTTGGTACTTTTGAATGTTAAGTGTAATGTTGTTGCTGCTGTTGCTGAACATAGTCGCTGGTTGGAGTGGTTGAGCTGGCGTTTGGAAACTCCTTTTCAGTGGCTGATTCGCACTTGACATTGTTCATTGTGGAATGGTTTGAGGCGTTTGATTGTTCTGTTACTTATGGTGTTGTTGTTGTTGTTGTTGTTTATGTGGCTGATATATAGCTATTCTTTGCTCGAATGGTGGGTTATTTAAGTCAATACGACTTTTTAATGAAGTTTGCAAACTAGTACTCGAATAACTTTCATCCTTGCCATATTGATTTCTTCTGTCCTTTTTTGACTGCCGATAACTCTATGAAGCTTTAGATGGAGATTGCGGGCAGTCGGCGATATGTCCTATGGGAGCTTCAAATTTATTTAGGGCTTTCTCCTTACAATAAATTTCTCGTCGGCTTGGTATGGCGGGGAAGTTTAAATTGTGTCGTAATATACCTCATAGGTGGAGTGCATTGGTGAAGTAAGAGGGAAACCCAGCATTGCATCTTTATGCAGCACACTTCTTGACGCTTCAAGATGAAACGTTGCTGTCGCTAAGGGATGTAATGCCGGGATTACCGCACCAACACTACCCAAGCCCAGGATGAATGGCCAGCGGATAGTAAAAAGTGGCTTGTCGCTAACGGTCCCCTCCGATGCCCGGGCAAGGTCGGTTGTAGAAGTGCCTTTCCAATACATACCTACTCTGCGGACGAGTTACGAACACCTTCCGGAATACTCGTGGGACCACAAGTGGAAACAATCAACAACAACAGAAAGAAAACTAAAGCGACAACAGCAAGAACAAAAACGCAAACCCGCGGAAGATGTGACGTCGTCGGAGGAGGGGCAGCTCCTACTATAGCAGCGAACCAGACAGCGATTTCGCCTGTTGGTTACCACCAATGCACCTCAGCAGAAAAAGCGGTAAGCCGCGCCAAAACGGAAGGTGCCAGCCATAGTACCGCCGTTTTGAAATTAGACCATCAAGAACGCGGTCGGTACCATTGGCATCCAGCCGCAAAAGCACAAGCACACTCAAACGCGTTCATGATGCTACAGTGCCAGGTGGCTCTGTACATGCTGGGCAAAATGCAGAGAAATGCAGCAGCAGGACGTGTAGACAAGTGCGATGAGGAAGATAAACTCAGATATATGGGCAGAGTAGAAGAGTATGAGAAATTTCAAATGAAACGTACTGACACGATGGTAGCTGGCAAAGCTCTCCTGGCTAAATCATCTACGGTAACTTAGTCTAAGCTGATCAAAGAACGCAAGACGGCGCTACATTCGGCGTCTCAGTCAATGCCGAACTCTGATAACTGGGCTTCCGGCCATATTAACATAGAAAGAAACGAGAGAGCAGACAAACTGGCGAAGGTGGGAGCTTATTTGGATGAATCTGTTGCGGTGATACCACGTTATCCCCGCAGGCAAATACAAATAGAATTCCACTTGCACCTTTGGGAAAAAGCAAGAACGGGGGTTCGTCAAAGTTCTAGACTTGCAAGATAATACGAAAGCTTTGGCCTGGAAACGGAGAGACAAGTGTCAGGATTGAGTATAGTAGTGCAACTGTAACTGCATATGCAGAAATATGACTAGAAGGAAAGAAGAAAATACTTTCTAAACTAAACAAAACCGGAAGTTTATTGAGAACAAATAAGTGATGAGTTGCCGAAAATCCTAGGCGTTTTTTACCAGCACAAAAATGATTGATTAAAAAATGTGAGACAAATTTTTTATTACATTCTGGCTACGCGCTTGAGAAGCGTTTCGAAATTCCAACAGCTTTTGCTTCGTACTTTAGTAGTATGCAGGCTTTTGGAACATAGAAAAACACCAGTTTGCTTGTTTTTCTTCTTTCTTACCTTTGTTCCTAAGCGGGACTTAGGGCATCTGATTCTGTTTCTGGTAATCGCTTGGCGCCCCTTCCAGCTAAATCCGACCTGCTTCTTCTCTATCTCGACCGTATATTCTCCTCCACATTTCACGGGGTCTGCCGGAAGGACTGCCTCTACCGATTAGAGGACCGCATTCTTAGACCTTATTGCCAATACTATCGTCTTATTTGCGGTTCCATTGAAGTCAAGATGCTCCATGTTAGCTTTCCTGAGCAACTCCTAATTTGAAATTTATTTTAAGTCAAAAAATTCGGAGTAAATATTGCAGTTTTTTCAAGCAAGTTTTAAAATGTATCTGTCCTTTGAATACCAATTTTGTTCAAAAGGGAAATACATTTGAGAAAACGACACTAAGACATTTGTTTACGAGAAATTCCGGGCATCTGCTTATGGAAGTAGTGACTTTCCAGGTGAAACTGTCATAGAGCGGTTTCGAGAATACATTTGATTTGAAAAGACTTGGGGTCTGGCTTTTACTTACTCAGTGGCCAATGTCTTCGTCTGTGCCGCCAGCGTGGGAAACTTCGCTGCCAAGTTAAGTCAAATTCCCCATTGTCTCAATAGTTTGGTCGGGGACTAACATGTGACAACCAGACTTCACACTGGCATACATAAGACCCTGGTCTTATTAAAATTGATTCTCAAGCCTGCCGCCTTAGCTACTCTGTTTGCTGCAGGGAACTGAACATGGACCACCGAAGTCCGTAATCGGGGAGTAGCATCATTGCAGCATCCAACACCTCCTTCTCCTCAATCACCAAAAGGAATAGAGCTTCGCTGTGAACTTCGAAGCTCTCGGACAGTTGTAAAAACGGCAAACTTCTAATGAGCCCTTGTTAATGCCCACCACAAGAAGAGAGCCTTCATCATCGCCTTCTCCTCTGGTATATGAATATGTACACATTTGGCTTGTTTCAACGAATTTATTATTTGAGAAGAACTTACTAGTGGAGGATCCACGTGCATCCACTCGAACTTTAAATTGACCTTCGATTCACCAATGGCTTTTCATAGATACTTGTCGCGTAAGTATATCTGCCCTCACACATCTATGTAATTCCGATCCAGAGACCTACATATATTTTTTTTTGCCATGTGACTCTTTGCTTCAAAAGATCCCTCATTGACATGGGGAAGAGGTTCCAGAGCAGACAAATCTTCATCGTTGTCATCTCGGCTGCAGTATCAGAGGAAGAAGGATATTGAAAGTTCACCGCAGCTTTTTTCCCCCTCATATTTGCATCTCTGCGGCAGCCTCGTGACCAGCTTTACAAATAAAGGACTTAAGTATTCTAGCCAGTACTCTCCAGATTCTCTCTAAGGTCAACAGTTTTTGCTTTCGCCAGTGAAGAAGTAGAAGCAACATCTTGCCAGCAGCTTACTTTCACCTAAACCTTGTGTGCCAGTGACAGTTATAGAGAACTTTGGGCTTGCACAGGCTAACATTTCTGACGACATTCTTTAAGTCATTCTACCTGAGATGCATAAATGCCTTTCGGGGCTGCTTCAACCTAGCCAAACTTGGTCATTAGTCAAAGAACAACCCAAACCGATGGATGCATGAAACCTACTCTAACATTTTTTGAATCCATCTGATGGAAGAAAACGAAGGGGAAATCCACACAGTCAGAGCTTAACAAACTCCAAAGGTTGGACTACCGTCGGTATTATTGTTGCGATAAAAACTAATCCCACAGAGGCCCTTGAGGCATTTGATGGGACAAGATATGTAACCAATAAGCTCTTTTTTTAAACATAAAAAAGAAAGATAAACCTGTTTTCTAGGCTGAGATCTGCGCCATAGAATTAAATATGTCTAAACGAGTACGCAGATAGAGGTGCCTTCCTATAATTTGTGAACTCACTTTGACTTGTAGAGCGGCATAATAGACGATTCTAGGCGGGTTTTTTCAACAAAATTACACAAGTATCTTCGTGAACATAAATCCTTAAAAATAACTATAAATTTTTTCGACGAGAACAGCCTGAGTTCAGAAAGGGTTTAGCAACAGTCAAAGGAGTTGTTGGGAAGATGTAAATTAATTACAATGATATTTGACTATCAACTGAAAAAAAAAAATGATGTGCAACAGGGATATCTGTATCGGTGTACAAAAAAGTGTAGAGAAAAAAATAAATTATAAAAATAAAAAAAAAACACGCCGTCATGGCGTTGCCAACAAAAATATGACAAATGACATGCCCACTTCAAAGTAATTACTTTCAATTAGGCTTTTCCGCAAGTGATCCTTTCAAATTGCACACAAGCACTCTCATTTCTTTTCGGCCAATGCGCAGGCGTACAATTCACAGCCAGTCATAATCGCCAGAGTTACCTACATACTGTACATACATATGTACATAGGAGAACACCGTT